AAAACTTAGTGATGAATGCGTGGAACATGCTATAGTTGTCTGGGAACACGAAAATTTCACGGCTGTGGCTCAACCTATGTGTTATAACTAATAAACAGAATTACTGGAGGATTTTGATCATGATTTGATAGCAGGAGAGCGGTTTTCTAATGTTTACGTAGTTTCATGGAAAATGATCAATAATTACTCAAGTTTCATATCACACTATTAGCAGCGTTGAAACCAGAATATTGTTTGGTCCTGTCTTTCGCCTTTCTGTATACAAAATGAACCAAGAAAAGTCATTGTGAATTTAAACTCCCCACACAAACAGAAATATATCGTCGTAACTTTTCAGCTCGATTAGGATCTTAAAAGATCTTAATACAATTGTGGTGAAGTTGGTAATGCATTTCATCCAGGCTTCAGATATTCTTTGCACTAGTCAGTGACATTTTAAAGTAGTGTATGTGAACTTTCGTGTTTCACATTTTGACTGGTAGTATTCACACACATCTGCAAGCGAAAAACTTTGACCAACCTTTCCGCGACATGCCATGTAAACACGATTACCAATCTTCTTGCCAAGTAAATTGGTTATTTGATTGTGAGAGACCGTGGACATCAGTTGGCCGCACGTTTTCGCATCAAATGCTTGAAATATTTTACTTGCTAGGGATCTGCCGATACCTATAATATAGGAATATATTTTGCGGTATAAGTATATCTGTAGTACGTTAATTCAGTATATTATCTATCTAAGATCAAAAGATCTTACTTGGAATTTCAGTGAGGGGTAGGTCGCACAACCACTGGTACTCATCGCCGGTTAATTCACATTTGGAGTGGACTTCTAGCTGTCCTATATTTTCTTCTGAAGAATACCACCTCCAGCTTTCCCTTTTTGTTGGCCTATCAAGTTTTGGACATGCGCTTCCGGAGCGTCCAAGAAGCCAATACTGGTCGTTGGGCTTAGCCTTCTTTGTGGCTAATCGTGCCAATAATTTACTTGTACCAAATCCAATAGACGCTGTGCAGCCACCAGTTATGTCTTTTACTAATTCTCGTATATAACCACCCAAAATTAACGGATTAATGATTTGATAGGTAACTTCCCAGTTGCCATCATGGAGTTTCGGTTTGATCTCGTTTTCATTCGAATACGTTAGTAGTTCTGTACAGTCAGCATACAGTTCATCGCAGCTTACCGCTTGGATGTCTCGAGTGAAGCTATAATGTACGGAATAGAATAGACCAACATAAATTTTAGACGAAAGTTTCGTGACAGCAGTGAAATCAAAATCTAGGTATCTTTCATTTTGCAAAGAAAACTGTTGAAGCATGTAATAACCTTCAGATATATTCCAGTAAAAAGAAAAGCAGATGAAAAACTAGCTACGGTTTTTGTTAGATAATAAACCAAGGAAAAGATGTTCCATCCTACTCTATGACTTTGTAGGCAGAATTTAATAGTCCATATAGAAACTTCAGTCGATCAGTGATATGGCGCGGAAGTCGTCCAATACTGACAGGTACGGTTAAACTACTAATCAACCGTACCGTTTGGTTTCTCACTGATTGTTTATCTACAATTTAGGACTTGTATGGTATGGAGGATTGCCCGAAGCCATTCTTAGGACGAAAATGTAAGTTAGTGTTACAAGCCTATTTCCACTAATAAGTACAAAAGCAACTGACTTACCGAGAAATGGTATCATATAGCAGCTTGGATACTGATTTGTAAGCCTCGAACTCATAGGGTAAAACAATTAAGTCTGGGCATAGTTGTTTGGCTCTTCCTAGAAGCATGCCGTTTTTCACTCCAGCCTAAAAGGTATGAAAATCTATGTAAAATAAATTGAGTATCAAGAACGCTAAGAAATTATTCTACTAAGAAAGTCATGAAACTGGTATTGGGAGACTTAGTTATCTGAAAGTTGCTTCTTCAAACCTAGTTCACCTTAGTCTTTCTCCGGAGCGATAATTCATAAACTTTTTCTCTATCCTCATGTGTTTATTAAAATTTCTAGTTGAAGAACATCGATCATAAGTGATTCTATCTAGGATAATATAAATACTATTAGTTATAGAGAAAAATTAAGAGATCCAACTTAATATGTTCTCAGCATCTGATTAATACATTGAGGTTTTAGTCAAATCACAAAGTTATGGAATGTATCCTTTCTAGCGACTAACATATCAAAAAAGTATTTGTTCATTAATGGGTAATAATTAAAAGTTAGGAGCCTATTCAGATTAGAGAGGATAAATTGTATCTATCATATGTCATTCTATCTTGGAATTAAAAGTAGGCGCATACCAATTGGTACTCTCAAGGAAGTCAAATGAGAGTTTTTACAGCTGTTTATTTCTATTGGAATACATGAACATTTAAATCATGGATTTTTTGCAATGTGGAAAATTAACTAGTAGTTTTAGATTTATATGTGAGTTGACCTTATGTTTCGTAAAATCTTGTTAGGTTAGTTTTTAACTAAAAAATGTTTGTCTAACTTACACTGAAAGTGTTATTTTAGAGCATTCTAAATTATACAGATGAGTATTTAAACTTTAATTACACGTACCTGACGAGCAGGATATGAACAGGAAGCAACTTCAGACATAGATTCCGTGTGTCTATAGTGGTAGATAAACAAAGCATAGATTTGGTTACCATATATCTTTGACAATAATGCTTTGTTATGAATATTTATCATCAGTGCGACTATATAATGAATACTAGGTTTTGAACTTATAGCGTAAGTTGTATAATGAGTTAAAAATAGTTAAAGAACCAGCGGAAGCGGAGAGTCATGAAATGGACAGGCGATGTGTCTAGTTTACTGTCCCTTTTAATGTTTTCATGTAACCAAACGCTGTGGAGCCTTTATAAGAAGTGTTTTCCTCATTACATCAGAGTCACTTAACACAATGAAAGTAAGAGTCTCATAACTGATGCAAATAACATTTGGATAAGGGAGAATGTATATGTGTACCGAATAAAGTGGTGACTTAGTTTTTATTATCACCTTAACTGCATGTGGCATAGGGTTTCATTTAAGACTTAAGTAGTGACCTCACCTGAGGACCATTAGTCTCGACAGGAGTACCGGAATGGTATCACACCCCTTGGACTTCTGAATTGAAGTTCCCTATTAGTAATGAGGTTTGCGTGACTATCGTAACGATTAGCTGGAGACTGAGTGACGTGGCTCAGAATAAATCACAATGGCGTAGGTGTATACACTTTGTCTCCCCTTAAACCGTGAGATCACGATTACTTTCTACGAATTAATACTTCTTCCTGCATTATATCCTTATATACAACCTTTTTATATATATTACTACAATTGAAGTTACTACTTTATGAATTTGATGTTTATCTTGCTGTGCTAATAATGCATGGCAACTTGGACTAATGTATATATGTGCATCCTGACCGTTGTTGCTACCTTGACGTGGTGGTCGGGCTTGCCTATCGTGATGAAGCAACTGAGCTATACTGGCTGGAACAACCGTTCCTCAAGGTCCTACCATGCCAGACAGGTCGGTCGAAGAACAGTAAGACTAAAAGCAACAAAACCAAGGTCCGAAGGCAAAGTCGTACTGCTGACTGTACAGAGGTGTGACAGCAGTAAGGTGTTTCCTTCAGACAACCAGCATAACAGCGATGCTGACTTCACACAAGGAGGGGTGGGGTTAGAAAAGGTCGACCCTAAAAATGCACACCTCGCCTTATCCCACGGATATCCGTCTCCGGCGGTAAGGTCTAAACAAGTACGGAGCTAACACAAAAACTAATCATAAAATAGTCGTGTGTGACCGACCTCAAGCAACTGTCCCTTGGGCACTGCACTGCGGTCACGCTCTCAGGTCACTATGACCAACTCTAATCCAATTTACTTTTCAGGTACCTCCAGCAGAACCCTTCCACGGTGTGGGCAACCGGGAAGTGATAATCGCCCTCATACCTCTAACAGCACTCAAGACCACTGTATTCATAATCAACCTACCTCTTCAATTCCTATTATTCCTCCTACATCGACTTTATACTCTGAACTTCCTCTTTTAGCTTCCTCCTCAAGTGTCACCATATCCAACGATTCTAATGCTCAAAACACTGTCCCAGGTCTAGTGAAACCTCGCTCCAAACTATACATTGGAGCCTTCAACGTACGCACACTATGCCAAATCGGTCAGCAGGCTTCCTTGGCTAAAATCTTAAAATCTCGTACCATTGATGTATGCTGTGTCTCTGAAACACACATACAGGATCCTAGTGTGGTCATTCACTTGACCTCACCTCGGCAAAACGGAGAGCCAACGAGATACACCCTCCGTGTATCTGGCGACCCGATGGCTAGTTCTCGTGGACTGGCAGGTGTAGACATAGCACTAAACATGAGGGCGGAACAAGCGCTTTTAGAATGGATCCCCATTAACAGTCGTCTATGCGCTGTTCGGATTAACGGCGACTGCAAAGAGATAAAAGAGGCAATCACTTCAACACGTCATGAGCTTCTGGGCCAAAAGAAGCACCATCACAAGGATTGGATCACTGTTGATACTCTGGATAAGATTCAAGAAAGGAGAAACAAGAAGGCAGCAATCAATACCAGCCGAACAAGAGCAGAAAAAGCCAAGGCACAAGCTGAATAAACAGAAGTAAACAAGCAAGTGAAGAGGAGCATCAGAACCGACAAACGTAAATATGTGGAAGATTTGGCATTGACGGCGGAAAAGGCTGCCAGAGAAGGAAACATGAGACAACTGTATGACACAACAAAGAAACTCTCTGGAAATCACCGTAAACCAGAACGACCAGTGAAAAGCAAGGAAGGCAAGTTAATCACCAACATTGAAGATCAACGAAACAGGTGGGTAGAACACTTCAAAGAACTGTTGAATCGACCAGCCCCACTGAACCCACCCAACATCGAAGCAGCACTCACGGACCTCCCAATTGATGTTGGTCCACCAACAATTGAAGAAATCAGCATGGCTATCAGACAAATCAAGAGTGGCAAAGCAGCAGGACTAGACAGCATTCCAGCAGAGGCACTGAAAGCAGACGTAGCGGCAACTGCAAGGATACTCAAAACTCTCTTCAGAAAGATCTGGGATGAGGAACAGGTACCAAAAGACTGGAAAGAAGGACTTCTAGTCAAAATACCAAAGAAAGGCGATCTCAGCAACTGTGACAACTACAGGGGAATCACTCTTCTTTCAATACCAGGAAAAGTCTTCAACAGGGTATTGTTAAACAGGATGAAGGACTCCGTAGACGCCCAACTTCGAGACCAACAGGCAGGATTCCGTAAGGATAGATCGTGCACAGACCAAGTCGCAACTCTACGGATCATTGTGGAACAATCAATTGAATGGAATTCATCACTCTATATCAACTTCATCGACTACGAAAAAGCATTTGATAGCGTGGACAGAACAACCCTATGGAAGCTTCTTCGACACTACGGCGTGCCTCAGAAGATAGTCAATATCATACAGAATTCCTATGATGGATTAAACTGCAAAATCGTTCATGGAGGACAGTTGACAAAGTCGTTCGAAGTAAAGACCGGTGTCAGGCAAGGTTGCTTACTCTCACCCTTTCTCTTTCTCCTGGTGATCGACTGGATCATGAAGACATCAACATCTGAAGGGAAGCATGGGATACAGTGGACAGCTAGGATGCAGTTGGACGATCTAGACTTCGCAGATGATCAGGCTCGTCTATCGCACACGCAACGACAAATGCAGGAGAAGACAACCAGTGTAGCTGCAGCCTCAGCAGCAGTAGGTCTCAATATACACAAAGGGAAAAGCAAGATTTTTCGATACAACACAGCATGCACCAATCAAATCACAATTGACGGTGAAGACTTGGAAGTTGTAAAAGCCTTTACATATTTGTGCAGCATCATCGATGAACACGGTGGATCTGATGCAGATGTGAAGGCACGGATCGGCAAAGCAAGAGTAGCATATTTACAACTGAGGAGCATCTGGGACTCATAACAATTGCAACCAACGCCGATTACTACCGCGCGCAATGCTTACCGGTGTTAGGGATGATTGGAAGAAAGTTAGGGGCGGCCAAACCAAAACGTGGCATCAGTGCTTGAAGTCACTAATTTCTGGTCTGAGCCATGTTGGTAGATGCAGACTACTTGGTTAGAGTCCACGTGACTATCGTAATCAATGGTTGGAGACTCTTGGTGAGATGGCTCAGAATCGATCACAATGACGTCGGTGTATACACTCTTTGTCTTCCTTTAAACTAAGAGATTAAAATAGCTTCATATCTTTTTTTTCTTCGTAATAATTCTTTCTTCCTGTTCTATCTCCTTATACACAATCTTTCTTCTATATATTACCACCACTGAATTAACTACTTTTATGAACCCGGTGTTCATCTTGTTGTGCTAATGCGGTATGGCAACTAGGACCGATGCATATACTTGCCTGGTCCTACGTTGCAGCTGAGTGACTGACTGATATATGTGCATGGTACTACGTTGTAGCTGACTGACTTCCCATCAGCAAGTGGAAAATAAGTGAAGAGAATAAATTATATGGGTCTCCTTAGCAGTGCGCATCCACGATACCGCCCCCCCATGCGAGATTCGCACTGCTGAGGAGTCCCATACTAGGACGAAACGACTGTCCAGTGCTTCTAAGGTGATGAAGCTTCAATTGACTCATGATTTCAACTATTGAAGTTACTAAAATCTCCAAAAAACCCCTTCTAATAATAAATTATATGACGAATACAACTTACTTGTTACCACTTCTAATGTCGTTAAATGAACCACGTGAGCTTTTCGCATGTGTAATAGCAACTGGCTTGTCTGATAAAAAAAACAAGAAATATATCCATCGAAAAGACAGTTGGAAAGTCACGATGAATATAGTTTTTCACATTTTCCGAGTTTCAGTAAAATATATGAATTCGAAGGTCAGATCGATTCAATTTCATCATATACTAGTACAAACAAAATATGGTGAGATTCTTTTAGAGCTATAGCTATATATATAAATACAAACTGCGATCAGTGTAGATTGATGAAATTTGTACAATCGTGTCAACGTTTTGTTTGTGATCAGTAAGTCTTCCCAGGTAATTATGCTCCTGTTTTTACAATAAATTTTCTATTTGTCTACTCCACAAATACCGAATAAGTGCGTTCTAGGGGCTTTGTTTATGATAAGTGGTTTTCGCAGGATTTGCATTTAGATTCAAGTTTTTTGTTTTATTAAGTTGACCTCTGACTGTGGGATTTATTGATCACATTCGCATGAATTAACAACTTAGATTTGTGCTAATATTTATTATTTACTGAAACATTTAAATATTCTATATAAAGGAAACTCTAAGAATATCAATAAATTTTCAAAAGCATGATATTTACATTGACCTGCAATCAGTATCTGAAAGGCTCACTTCTTTATGATGTAGTTCGAAATGACAATGAATACTTCTCAATCAAAACAGTTAAACAAAGAGATCCCAACACTTATAAATATGAAATTGAGCTACAAATCTTTTTCATCATTCTTCAGTTCATTTGAATAAAACTGGTCTCATTGAGTAGTTCAATATGTCTTGTGGTATTCTAAAAATTCAGCTGCAAAGAATTATGAAATCTATGTGAAGAACGATTTTCGATTCAGGAACCAATAATGTATATTTGGTCCCAGTTCAGATCATTATTAAAATCAACTACTATAAATCAGAATGGAAATATTCAGTAATGTTTATAAATCTTAAGTATTTATTCAATGAATAAACTTTCATTATCTAATACCACATTCATTACTTGAAGATTTGAGAGTAGTAAACGAAAATGTATTACCAACCCTGTAAACCTGTATTTTCAGATATTGTAAATGTTCTTGATAGACATTACTCACAGAACAAGAGATGAATTTGTGAAGGCATAAATATAAAGTAATATGAGTTAAATCCGTCTACGCCATCAAAAATGTATGCTATGATCATTTTATTTATTAGACAAATATTACAATTTTGTTTAAACACATGTCTGTAAATCATAACAGGATTTAGAGCAGTCAATTAATGAGCTCACTCTTATGTGGAAAACTAAAGAGAATTATTTGGAAAACATTTACAACTACGTGTACTGAAATAATGTACATAACTAATAAAGCTTGACAATGTTTAAAATAGAAAAATTCATCTAAAATGACTTTGTATGCAACTTATACGTAAACAAAATTATCATATAGTAATACACATTCTTGATTTTAATTTAAATGGTTTTGTATAAATATATATACACTAAGTGATGAATAGTTCACTTAAATTTTAAAAATATACAGAATAAGTACAAATAAGGAAAATTTCGATAGAATAATTACCTTTAAGTTCTGGTCTACTTCGAAGACTGACAGATACGAAGAAACAATCCATATCAATATGAAATATAATTCGAGGCTTTTGTGGTTTTGATAGTGGATAAGAATCAGGATCATTACAATGAACATATCGTGCACGTAACTCAATAGTTTTTTTGTTATTTCTGGATGGAGATAAATCGCTTGAAATTTGACTATACCATTCCATGCCTAAGTCACAGTTATGTTCAGGATTCTTACGCATCTCTTCAACTAAACCTTGTAGATCTTTAGCCCAAGAAGAAAGATGATGTAAGCGTGAACGGGAATAAAATGTAGCTAATTTTTGATCTAGTGATGCTTTCAATGAGGTTTGTTGTATCGATGTATGGGAAGCAACAGATGAAGGTACCTAAAAATGAAACAGAAAAGTTTACACAAATTTAGGAACAGGAAAGTCGAAATACATGTGTATATTCATCTCATTACCAAGTTAATATTTGATACATGTATCATTTTCAAGACTGAAGGAAACATCTGGAAGCCGTTATCCTAAAAGATAACAGCTTCCAGATGACTGCTCATCCTAATAATTTACGGTACGATGTTAGTTTTTAGCTTAACACAATGAAGAATACTTAGTATTAATCATACAACGTAATAAATATGTAACAAAAGTCCATTGAAGCCTACGCTGATTTACTATATAAAAGTTCCGTTCAATAACGAATAACACCGGGTGATAAAAATGGAAAAAACAGAAATATTTGGAAATAAATAACAAAACCACATGGGTAGTCAAGAAAGGGAACAAACAGACAATTTTATATGCTGCTCAGAATCAATAAAAATCAAAGCATTGGTAAATCTGTTTACTTTCTTATTCATATTTCGTAAAGTATATGAATCAGTGCCTGTTTTCCAATCTAGCCAGCTAGTAATTCGTCATGTTCGTGTAAAGTATCTTAGCCATTTGGAAATTACTTTTGGTGAAATTCTATTAGGCAGTGCTGCTATATAAGTAATACAATTTTACTAACTCAGTTGCAAGGTGATATAACCTTATCAATTGACTTTCTTTCTATGTTCGGAACTCAGTAATAATTATTGTAATTATTGGAATGAATAAAAACGATAGTTGCTTCGAAGATATTCATGATTGAAAATTGGTGGTTTTCTAAAATGAGCTACATTCAATAGATATGAATTCCAATCACAAATTAGTATAGATGTAGCTGTTTTAAATGAAAAATGGATAAAACATAACATTGCCGAAATCATCAAACTGCATCACGAGGCAAGCATTAACTTGGAATCCTGAAGGGAAACGGAAAAGAGCAAGATCAAGGAACACAATGCGTTGGGAATCGGAAGCAGACATCAAAAGTATCAATAGCAACTGCAAACAACTGAAAATGATTGCCCAGGACAGAGTTTAATGGAGAATGCTGGCGGACGATCTGTGCTCCTCCATGAGGGGTAAGAGGCGTAAGTAAGCTGTTTTAAAGGATTCATAATCTTTAATAAGCATAAATTTAAAGTTGAGTGGCCCCCAAATGCCCTGGTACGGCGGAGCGGGAAGAAAGTCAGCTCTCCTTCTCGAAGTGCTCGCACATACAGCCACTGCCAGAAAAGTCCTACTCACTGCCTTCTCGTGACGGGGATGTTGTTTACGAAATTGACAGGACGAAAAACGAATATTTGGCGCCCTAACCGGGTTGATAGGTACGGAGGATCCACCTAGGGAAGTTGGAAAACCCTGATTCCAAACCAAGTGTGCACATGGGCACCAGGATCCTGAGGAACAAATGGCATATGAACCAATTGTCGGCCACCGGCTACCATGGGACTGTATTTCTTGGCATTGCTCCACTGCCCTGTGGATCAAACCATTATCTCGAAGGCTCGGGGTGTGACCCCTTGAGAAAACTACCTGTTTCGGTTTGGGCGCCCGGGCAGTATTCCAGCCCTCACACAAATCAAATGATTTCTGTCGCGCATATACATTTGGTGCCCCTTGTATTGATGTTTTTGTTTAAATAAATAAATAAATAGAGTTGAACTAGTTAGACAAGATGTTGAGTCAAATAAAATTTCTGATTAAAGATGATTTCAGGAACTAACCACGAGTTTTATCATACTGTCTAATTGCTATGAAATGAATTTTTACATACAATTGTTTGAAAATTTTGTTAGAATGAAATATCAAAACGTTATTAGCGTAACTGCAATTAGTTGATATGAAATAAAAGCAAGATTGTTATGTGGTCTATTTTAATGTAAATTAGTCAGAAATAAGGCAATAGTTTTATGGTAAGTCAGTCAGTCAGTAACAACGTGGAACTTCGTACATACGTACATCACTTCGAGTTGCCATACCACATTAGCACAGAGATTCAGTTATCGTCTCAAATCCCGTAGTGGCAGAGTAGTGAAAGTATAAGTAGTGACAGGAAACGTTAAGAATTGATGATGTTATTTAAGGAACATGGTCCAGTGGAATAGATTTGGAAAGAAAATAAAGGACATGGAGAATTCAGAAGATTAGAGTTTGGGAGAACACAAAGAGTGGATGCACCTGCGCCATTGCAAACGGTTTTGAGCGATGTCATTCAAGGTCTCTAACCATCGGTTGCTATCATCTCGCGGTCCCCAACCAGGTAGTCTATACCTACCAACATGGCTCACTCAGTCCACTTGTCAGTGACTTCATGGATTTGTGGCATGTTTTGGTCTGGCCGCCCCTAGCTTTCTTCCAACCTATTCCTACACCATAAAACATCGCACGTCGTGGCAGTCGGTGGTCTGGCATGCGCAGCACATGTCCCAGCCATCTCAACTAATTAAGTTTCACTACTTC